TCTTTCCAAGTGACAAGGTTGGTAGTGTTAAAGCGAGCCCTGCTGTTCCCACCACGAGAAACATCCAGCTTACAGATTTTGCAAGATGCAGTTTCAGCATCATTGTCTTCCGTTGAAAAGTGCTGTGGACATGGATGCATTTTTGTGTGCATCTTGACTTCTTAAAGTGGCGATATTATGTGTTTCTCAGCCATATATTTAAATACTATACCACAATAAAGTATCTATGTCACCTTTAGTTGTTATTAAAATGCTGTTTTTATGTTTAAATAGAAAATAAACTTWTMTTCTCATCACTTCCTCTTCKAAACGCCTTGAAATTGGCCTCTGTCTCTTTAAGAACCACCTTCCGCTTCTGTCTCGCACATTTCAGTGGGGGGGGGGGGGGGGGTCCACGCTCGTGAGTGGGAGGGGGTGGCTGCTGCGATGCAGTTTACTTGGCATCTGAAAATTCATTTCCTCAAAGGTATTTTTAATCTGAAAAGAGCTTCACTGAGTGAGAAGTAATGTTGAGAGCTCAGCAGACAGTTTCAGTTTCACTTTCAGTTTCACCCGAGAGCCCACAGGAGTCATGAGCGGGGTGTGTGGGGAGGGGGGAGGGTGGGGGCGTTCTGCCATGAGGAAGTTCTGCTTAAAGACATGTCCCAGGGGTGTTTCTGGTCCCCACCTGTCGTTTTGCTCCTCAGCATGGCTTCCTAAAAATGCTGCAGGATTTCTCAAACATGCATGAATGAGTCAAAGCAAGGCTTTCGACATGTTTTTTATGAGAGTATAACATTATAACATTATATAAAACTCAAAAACGTTGATTTTACATCATACTGCCCCTTTAATGGCAGTTGTAAAGCATGATGATGCTGAAAACTGTTGCGAAAACTGGATTGGCCCGATCACATGACTAAATCCAATTCTACCTGATTTTCAAAAAATGGCCACATCTGCCACCGATACCAATACTGAGTATCTGATCGGGACATTCCTTATTACAAGTATGTTTTTTGTCTGTTCAGATTTATTCTTTATATCTTTTCTGTGCTGGAACCCGAGGACACGTTTCCTGAAATCATCTGCAAACATGAATGGTAAATGGTCAATGGGTGACTCATCAGAATACTCAAAGCACTTTAAGGCTGAGTTATGGTGGCGCTTTGGAGCGCACATTGAACGCGTGCGCACCCTCGCCGGCAGTGAAAGTGTTTATACTTGGCGCTTACACTGCTGAAGATTTTTCCAAAAGGACGCATTACACTTTATTATTTGTGAACATGTTGTAAATAAAAAACTTGACAAAAATTTGGAGGTGCACGACTGCGTATCAGGACTAGGGGTGTAAGAAAATATTGATACACTGAAATATCGCGATATTTCATTTCCCGATATTGTATCGATATTCCAAAGCCCTGTATCGATTTTTGATTAAGGTTTAAAACATCAACTTTCCTGCCAACCATTCATTTTTATGCTAGTTCAGCCTCTGACCACTAGTTGGCAGCAGTGAGCCAGCCATTTGGCTCCTCTACCTCTTGAGCGCCAAAGAGCAAGGTAGCATTAGCATTGTAAGTAAACATTAGCTTCATGCTCCGATAGCTGAATCTGAGCAGAAAAGACCGACACCCTCTGCCTTCTAAGCTGAGGTAAGGTTACAAACAGTTACTTATTTGTCAGAATGTCTGTATTTTAAGACAAATTAAGTGTCTTGTGCGCTCTTTTTTCCAACTGTAGTCAGCCTTCATGTTACGCACAGCGCATGCGTCAATCGCCTCGGACAAGCTCAGCACTCCCCCCGTGACATAAAACTCTGTCTGTTGCTCTCAATGTCCGGCTGATCGCATCAAAGTCTGTATACTTTATCCTGCTGTGTTCGCTTCAAAAATGGTTTAACTGTATTTTTTAGTTTTTCCATTTATTTACTGTTTATTTTCAGGACCTGCCCTGCTGTTCGACCCACATTTATACAAATCACGTTCTGTATGCAGGTCAGCTGATCCCAGAAACTCTGTGTGCAGCAACTTCATATCATCTGTTTACTGAATTTATGACAACATAAAGGCTATTGTTAAGTGTTGGATGACAATATTGTAAATTAATATTAAAAACTAAAAGCTGCAAAAATATATTTTCAAACTATTTATTGGCTAATTTAGTCTAATAATTGAAAACATGGATGAAATAAGAAATATGAAACAAATAAAATGAAACACATACAAAGCAGAACACAGCTAAATGTATCAAAAGTATGTCTATGTAATATTAGAATTTTCTGAGACAATGAATATTGGTTTATTCTTTTTTTTCCCCCCAGTAAGAGGTTTTTATTTTATAGAATTTTTGGACAAAAAAAATCACAATATATTGCCTTGTTTACAGTATCGGGATATATCGGGATATATCGTATCGTGACCCCTCTGTCATGAAATGTATCGTACCGCCAAATTCTTGCCAATACACAGCCCTAATCAGGACACCGCGAGGGGCCAAAGCGCAGGGGCAGGGATGGTGCGTCATTATTGGTGTGTACCCCCTCAACTATAAACCATAGCTTTACACTGCAATCTGTGTCCTCATTGACCCATTAAGTCTCTGCAAAGCTAACATATACAATCACCTATGGAGACTAATCAGTGCCAATCACATTCATACACTGATGGTACGCACATCAGAGGCATTAGGGGTGAAGTGTCTTGCCCAAGGACATAACAAATGAGACAACTGGAAAGGGGGATTGAACACGCAACCTACCGGATCCAGGATAACTCCCCTACTGAACTGTGTTTTATCCCCTAATGTGTTGCCTTTGGGTTTATCTCAGTTTCTGTTATGTTTGACCATATTTGACCTCTTTTCCTCCAGTTCTGTGAATTTACTCATTTTCCCCATTTTTGTTAAGAACCTCACCGTCAACAAAATAAAAGTTGTAGCTTTTTTTGACACGAAGCCACCCACGTCCACTAACTGTAACACGCCACCATTTTTTCATTTATTCCCTAGAGCAGTTATTTTTTTCAAAGTGGAAGCCACGACCCCATCAAGCCGGCAGCCTGTGTGTAGAAGTGTTTGTGGGTTCGTGGCAGGGGTCGGGGGTGGGTTTCCCCAGCCAGGAGCTAATGCTGTTTGGGAGGCCATGTTATGAAGAAGTTCGGGAACCCCTGCCCTAGATAACATTTAATTATCCTCTTCCATGGCAGGACCTGCAGGGTGACTGCAGTACTCTTGATGACAAAGCTGAAACGAAGTAAACCGGGTAAAACTGCTCCATACATTTATTTTTTTTATTTAACCTTTATTTATCCAAGTAAACTGTTTGAGAACCACTTCATTTACAAACATGACTTTCTTAAATCACAACTCTTTATTATAAATGTCTTTAAAAAGTCGTCAGTTTAGATTAGTTTGAGATAAATCCAGAGATGGTGCTGGTGTTTCCCTGGAACTTCTAAGGTTCCTGTTTGCTACCATCTGGACATGATGACGCTCCAGGTGTCTTTAAGCTGTCCTCCCTGCTCAGCCTGGGTTCAAACTGAACAGCTGAAGGACTACTGCATGCACACTAGGGCTGCACTGATTGGTCGAAATAATCGATGACGTCGATTATGTAAATTTGTCGACGCAGATTTTTTATTATCGATTCGCTGTATTACATAACAACCACGTGAACGTTCACGCAATTCCATTTCGGTACCTAAATGCATCATTGCGACCGTATTGGCATAAGAGCGGTGAGTTTTCCATGCTTGTCCTGAACGCAGCATTGCTCAAGAGCGTAATGACGTCAGCAGCTGCTGCTTCAGTTCAGTCTGAAGCTTGAAAACAAGCCTCGCAGCTCCTGGAGTAAAATTTACCAAACAGGCCGCCTCTGAATTATCTGGTGGATTAATTATCTTGTGAACACGACGTTCACTTGCTCAAACTAAATAAAGTACCGCCACTTTATTTATTTCATCCACCATTAAACAGAGACCGGTGTTAGGTCGAGCTGCGTTCCCCCATCAGACGGTTCCCCCATCAGACGGTTCCCCCATCAGACGGTTCCCCCATCAGACGGTTCCCCCAGCGTCTCAAACAACAGAGGAGCTTCCCGACACACGTCTGACCTAAAGAGCACAAGCAGCCAACAAGTGTTGGACGTGTTCTGGATGTTCAAAACGTAGCTTAAATACCTTTTATTAATTTTAACTGCATCCTCTTTTGTTTATTTGATTTAAACTTATTTGCCTTCCATGGACCTCCATCACATAATGTTTCTAGTGGAGAAATGACATCAATAGAAACACGTGGAGCTGGATTTTAATTTGTACAATAAGACAAAACAGTCTTGTTGTTTTCAACAGTTTTCACCTTAAAGAAATAAGTTACACAACTGATGTTACAATACAAAGAGCTGGATGTTGTCTTTATATTTGTTAAATTTTATATATTGAGAAATATGTTAAATAAAAAAATAATAAATAAATGTTTATTATAGTTTTTCCAGAGTGACTTGAATTTTGCATGATTTAGTTCATTTGTTAGTTTGTTAACATCTTGCACTATATTTCTTTTAGTTGAATTTTATATGCTTTGGTTGAGATTTTATGTTGATGTTAAATCTTTTAAGCTTTTTTTGTTAAAGATTTGACTCTAGAGTGCATATTTTGTGTCCATGAAAAAACTATAACAGAAAATATTACAATATTAAAGAACTGTTCTTGTTAATTTGATGAAAACATTTTAAATATCCAGTGCACTCACATCAGAATAACTTATAGATTTGTTGTTAGAATAATCGATTAATCGAAAAAATAATCGTTAGATTAATCGATTAGAAAGTAATCGTTTGGTACAGCACTAATGCACACTGCTTCTCCTTCCTGCCGGGCGTGAAAGCAGCGCCGCATGTGAGTGACAGCTGATGTGGGAGGAAGGTGGAGATAAGAAACCGTCTTTTCTTAGCATGATATAAACAGATCTGTGAGCGAGAAGGAACCGGTTGAACTGTCTAGACGTTAGATAGGTGGTCTCACCTCACACTTATCCACCACCGGCTGCTGCACGCAGTCAGAGTTGTTTCCCACCGCAGCCTTTCTATGACCCTCGTTGTCCCCGGTGCCCTCCTCTGAGTACGTCCGGTTCTGATTCCTGTGGTGGGGGCCATCTGGAAGGTGTGCAGACTTATTCTTGGGAGGCCGACTGAGCTCCCGGCGCAGCGCCCGGTTCTCCTCTTCAACTGCTCGGACCCTGAGCTCTAAGGCCTGCCGCTCACCAGCACCACCCAACGAAGCCGACGACTGAGTTTCCAATGGAGACAGGGGGAGGGGCTTCACTGTAGGGTTAACAGAGAGACAACCTGACATTAGACAGAACAAAGAATCAAACTAAAACCAAGAGCACTCAACGCTTTCAAAATTTAAGCTCATTTTAAAACCTTTTTTTTAAACAAAAACCTTATAAAGGACAGTTTTTATTCAGCTGCAGAACTTTTTTAAATCCACAACATTCTGGAAGAGTTTCAGTCTGGTTTTAAAGCTCTTCACTGCACAAAGACTGCACTTTTAAACTTTTTAATGATCTTTTATTGACTCAGCTGCTCCTTTGAATTTAGACCTGACGCACTGTAAAAAATGAAATGTTGGATTTACTTAAGGCTGCGACACACTACAAGATTTTAAAACAGTCGGCCGATTTTCAAAGACTGATAGAGCCCACATGTGAAGATAAAAAATCATGGATCTACCAGGTTTGGTCCTACAGTGTGTGATCTACAGCCACACGGCAAGAGACAACACACCACACACAAACAGATATTTCATTCATGAACTTTCAGATGTCAGATTAAATCACGCGAGACTTCCTGAAATATTGCGAGGATTCAGATGTCTGAGGAAGAAACCATGTTGATTGTTTGTGGACTATTTTTTTCCAGAGGAAAAACAATTCCATAGGACCTGTAACATCCAGCAGACTTTCTGGTGAGTCATACAGCTTTTTTGTCTCCTGTATTTTGGAATCCCCTCAGTGTTTACGTCATCTCGCTTTCTGATTGGCTACAGGTCTCATTCACAGGCTGTGAGCTCGGGTGAACACCACACACACTGATATCCGGCCAAAAAAAACCAAACATGTTGAATATCCCCGATTTGAGGTCGGAGCGGTCCCGACGTCTTTCCGAGCTGACTAGATCACTCTTAACTCACCCACGGTGGGAATATCTGCTATGATTATCTTTAGAGCCATCACAATAATCTGGACTTCCTTAAGATTGTCGGAAGGCCAAAAATCGACATGATTATCTTTTAGTGTAACACAGGCCTTAACCATGTTATGTCATCTGGTTTCACTTAAGTGAGTTGAGTAAATTCAAAGCAATACACCAGTTTTTTAACCAAAGAACATGAGTATGTTGCTTTGAATTTACTCAACTCAGTTAAGTGGAACCAGTTAACATAACATGGTTAAGTAAATCCAACATTTCATTTTTAGAGTGCAGTTGTCTGACAGGAGGTTCTCTGTAAGCCTCATGGAATCTGTTTTCTTTTCTGCCCCCCTCACATGTGGAGTTCCTCAAGAATTCATACTTGGACCCATTTTAGTTTTCATCTCCATGTTCCCCCGGGTAGCTTCGATACATTCATAAGCTCCCATGTAAAACATTTATGGATAAATTTGATCCATCCATCCAGCCATCCATCCATCCATCCATCCATCCATCCATCCATCCATCCATTATTTTCCGCTTTATCCAAAGTTGGGGCGCGGAGGCAGCAGCTTGAGCAGGGAAGCCCAGACCTGTCTTTCCCCAGCCACCTCTTCCAACGCTTCTGGGAGGACTCCAAGGCGTTCCCAGGCCAGCCGAGAGACATAGTCTCTCCGGCGTGTCCTGGGTCTTCCTCGGGGTCTCCTCCCAGTTGGACATGCCTGAAACACCTCCCTAGGGACGTGTCCAGGAGGCATTCTTACTAGATGCCCAAACCACCTCAACTGGCTCCTCTCGATGTGGAGGAGCAGCGGCTCTACTCTGAGTCTTACCCTATCTCTAAGGAGGAGTCCTGCTACCCTACAGAGAAAACTCATTTCGACCGCTTTTATCCGCCATCTTGTTCTTTCAGTCACTATCCAAAGTTCGTGACAATAGGTGAGGGTAGGAACGTAGACTGATCGGTAAACAGAGGGCTTTGCCTTACAGCTCAGCTCCCTCTTCACCACAACAGACAGGTACAGAGGTAAATTTGATTCAAATAAAACAAATGTTGCATAATAGACATCTTTCTGTAAATTAAGGCATTTTTAAAACTTGTTTTATCTTTTAATGACCTTAAACAGGTGATTCACACTTTTCTTACCTCTGTAACTCTCTGTATGTTGGTGTCATCCTACTAGAGATTGGGTTTTTGTTTGAGCCCAGACAGTGAACCACCAAACCTCATTGCTGTCAGATCACATAAAGCTCACGGAGCAGGATACCAGGACCAAGAACTTTAGGATAGAGGCAGTGTGTTTGGTGTTTAGAGGTTAGCAAGGCCCAGATTACAGTCGGATTTAGGCAGGTAGATGAGCTTTCTACCATCTGATAGAGGACAAATTATCCAGTCAAGATGAGTGACTACCCCACTTAGGAACCACTAGGAGAGAGACACATGGGAAGGTGGGCCTTGTTACTACCTTTACTTTTTTTTAGAAGGTAAAGCTTTTTGAATCTCCAACAGGGCCCTGGCAGAGGCTGATTACCTCACTAAAGCTCTGACTGACGGGACAATACAGACTTCATGAAGCAAACCACCCACCACCACACCACAAGCCTCAAAATAAAAAGTAGAGAGGCCACTTCATTTATACATATACAGATATACTGTAAGATAATTTACTTAGCAATTTGTATTAGATGAAAAATCTATTTTGTGAACATTGTTCTTTTACCAGGTGTTAAACTGGTGTTGGTTCTGGGGGTTATCAGAACAGGCGAATAAGGCTGTGGTAGCTGGGTGGTCTTGTAGTCCTGAGGCTGCAGGTTCCAGCTCAGGTTGTGTCAGGCAGGGTGTCCTGACAGTTCTATAAAACAGTTGTCTTTTGTGTGGGCTTGCTAGCTGATACCAGATAAAGAGTCAAACAAAGAAATCAGCCAACATACTGAATCATACTCTGAATCATTTTGGGTACAAAAATGATTGGGTACCAGATGCCTGAAGCCACATTTATAAGATCAAACAACTACACTCAGATATAAACACTAGGGATGTTCTGCTATCATACTATTCAGGAAGTAGACGGGGTCTGTGCTCCTAACATGAATATGTTTTGGTAGTTTTGGCATGAAGACACAAGTCATGATCGGATTAATTATTTTGTTCCCATATAAATGATGCATTTGATTATTTAATATGAACATATTTCAATCAGATTAAAGAATTTAGTGCATGTAAACACAGCTAATGATTTTGTGTCAAAAGAAAGCAATGAAAGTTTTGTTCAAATCCATTGAACAGTTTTCAACATACAGTGGGACTGGGTAAAACTATACACAGGTAAAACAGGAGTGTTAAAATTTCAGTGTTAAACCTTTGTGCTATTTTAACACTTTCTGAGTACACTGACATCCAGTGTTGGTGTTAATTCACAGTGTTGATTTCCTCAGTGTTGTCTCAACACTGGACAGTGTTAAATATGCTTCGCCTACAGTTGTCTTATATAACACTTAACAATGTTGTTATACTGTATGACACCATGCAGTGTTGAAAGCAGTTTTCTGAAAAGCCCCGCCCTCTTCCACCTCATATAAGACAGACCAGTATTTACCCAGCATTCCTTGCTGAGAAATCTTGCAGAAATGATGTTTTTGCATGTTTATGACTATTAAAGACGTTCATGAGAGTTACAAATTAGTTGTTTTGGTTAGTTTTATTTTTCAGTTTGATCAAGTAGTTCAACTTTAAATTTGTGTTATTGGCCATAAATCAACACCATGAGTGAGAGGTCTGTCCTGGTGTGTGAAGGGTGACTCCATTGTACTTTTCTACTAACTACTGAGTAGTGTTGATGCAATACTACAAGGAGTTTGATTTTAACTCTTGAGTGTTAAAATTACACTCTCAAATTGATGGTGTGTGAACACCTGTGTATGTTAATCTTTTTAACACCATAATTTCCTTTGTTAATAATAATACAATAGTGATACTTCCAACACTTTATTTTAACACTGTTGAAATGTTAATATGACACACAGTATTGTTGAATATTAAACACTGGTTGGTGTTAAATTAACAAAAAAATGGGTGTTAAAATTTAACCCTTTCACAAATGTTATTTTAACACCAGCAAGTGTGGACACATAGACACTTTGTTGGTGTTGAAATTAACACTGTGGTGTTAAATTAACACTGGCATTTTTGATGTGTACATTTTTTACAGAGTATTCAAGCCAGCCTAAATTGTACAGATGGTATTTTGAGGCCTCTAAACTTGTTTCTGTTATCTCATTACCACAAACCTTGCTTTTTGCTGAAGAACTGAAAGGAAATGCATTCTGTTTAACAGATTTTTTATAATCTACTTGCATAATTAATTATTTTTTGTGTTATGATTAAACTGTGGTTAATTGATCTGATTAATCAATCTGCTTTGAATGAACCATGTCACGTCATCTTGAACAGAATGTACTTTTAAATGATACTCGCCTTATCAGCGTACAACAAACCAACATTTAATTACTTGTCTCATCTAGAAATCAGTTTTACTGTAAAATAACTCAGCTTCACAATAGGAAATGTCCTCCCAAAAGGATATGATGTATTGCCCTTAAAGGAGGACCTGAGCTCAGAAGAGTTTATTTAAATCTGTGCTGACTTGCTGATTCGTGGCTAAAATCCTGTGACTGAATAAAGGCCAGTATTTTGGTTCTGCTGGTGGTACTGTATGGCTCTTTTCTTTGCAATTAAATGTTCAAGTCTAATTCAGTATTTGTCTCCTGGTTCTCCACTTGAGTAAAACAACTCGTTATCTTACAGTACTATGTAGTTCCAACAACTTGATTGGAAAAAAACAGTTAGTTAGCCTTAAAAATGCATTTGGGACAAGTTTTGAAGGTGGAAAAATGATTTAATTATTTTACCTATGATTTACAGGTCTAGGGTAAATTTGCCTCCTTATTCTAATACAATCCTTGTTTCCTTTTATCTTTTGTGGTTTTTGCTCTACAGTATATTAGATTGAATATGGGTCTATTTCTATTCTAAGTGCAATCTCGGAGTGCAACGATTTTATTTGTAACTTTTTAAAAGCCTATATGTCACAAGGTTCATTTTCATACTTAGTTTTCTTGGGGTTTCTTTTGG